CGAGGTCATGAATCGACGTTTATGATGACGTAATTACCAGAATGACACATGGGAGGAGAGGAGGAGACTTGTATTCTAAGGTTACGCGGACCAATACCGTTAGCTTGCGGTCTTCTCCCTAAGAGGATTATGCGTATTTTCTTACACTCGCTCGACACATAACGGTCACGATTCGTTCTTCGCATGCTCGTCGAAAAATATACAAGCAAGGCGCAAAGCAGCTTCGGTCATTTGAATTTAGGCATAAGCATTAAGCAACACCCGAGAGCAGCTTTCGCCTTCTGGTCCAGCACAGCACAACTGAAGCATTTGGCATCCATCGCGTTGGTCTAAATATTGAGCATAATTTACTCCATCCGAACAATGCAACTGTCGCCCACCATTGGACAAAATCAGTATCTCAAGTAGGCGAAAGGAACACCAATAACCTACCTGAATACCCACTGTACTGGGGTCATACTTGATGGTGACCGCCATGGCCGAGCCGTGTTGTGACACCAATCAACACTGATGCAGATCACGGATCACGAATCACGAATCACGAGTCACGGTCAGACACGGGTCACATCAGGCGGCACGCGCCGCGCGTCCCACGCCGCTGCTCGGCTCACGGCCCCACTGTGGCCGGCCGACACCGAATTCCGCTGCTATCGGCTGCTGAGTCTGCTGGCGTTATCGGCCCTTGTCGCTGGCCCTCTCCCCCTCCCCACACCTGGTGGGGAGGGGACAGGGGCGCGCGTGACCCGGCATGGCATGTTGAGTTGCAGCCGCCGACCACATCCAGCTGCCGACACTGATCTAGACAAGTGTCGCCGTCATCTCGACAGCGCTTACAGTGAATTGTGGCTCATGAGCCTTTAAAGCGGGCCAACGGCTTGGAGATGTGCGTGAATGGGCCCCGTGTCAACGACCACCCTTCACTGTCATATACCTTCCGTGGGGTCTAAAAAATGCCTCGGGCTCTCAGCCACATGCAAACATTAGCAGCCGTCAGCAGGCCAGCCGTCAGCAGCCAGCCGTCGGCAGGTGACCGAGCCGTCAGCAGTCAGCCGTCGGCAGCCAGCCATCAGCAGGCCAGTGGTCAGCAGCCAGCCGTCAGCAGTCAGCCGTCAGCAGTCAGCCGTCACCAGCCAGCCGTCGGCAGGTGACCGAGCCGTCGGTAGCCAGCCGTCAGCAGCCAGCCGTCAGCAGCCAGCCGTCAGCAGCCAGCCGTCAGCAGCCAGCCGTCAGCAGCCAGTCGTCAGTAGCCAGCCGTCAGCAGGTGACCGAGCCGTCAGCAGCCAGCCGTCAGCAGCCAGCCGTCAGCAGTCAGCCGTCGGCAGGTGACCGCGGAGTTCCGTCATCAGCCGTCAGCAGACACCCGTGCGGACCTCGCACCTCCGCTACCGCAGAGCTCCGATAGCGCCGTCACAACAGGCTGAGTCACACTTTAAACAGATCAAACGGCTGCCTCTCGGTTAGTCTCAAATCACTACAGGCTTAAAACGGGGCTGCTCGATTTGTTTACAACGCGAGGAAAGGTCTTTCATATTTGCACGGCGATAGTTCGAGGTGAATTTCGAAGGGTGTATAAAGCCCCAGATATCCTTCCTCAAATCAGCAATTTCCAACAGAGGAATAACGCCGTAAAGCCATGCAATTTCAGTCAAACTTTTCCCACTACCTCTTCACTGCATCCCAAAAAGCAAAAACAACAAAACAAGTTCCTCCAAAACATCGGAAAACTCTCGGCTCGACGATCGTCCCAAAACATCACAACACTCGGAAGTGCTTACGATGTTCCTCGCCGTACACAGCGGCGGCAGGTAAAAATACTCCCCTCCCCGTGTGGTGGCTGTTTTTATAGGCCTGTCGCCGGTCCGTGCGCCGGCCATGGGGCGGGACGGTGACACGGAAGCTGCGAGGGGCGCGGTGGCACGGGTCCGGTCCGCGGCACGGCTATTTATACGACGCACGTGCGTGCCGCAGTGGCTGGCGGAACGCGCGAGTGTGCAGTGTAGAGCACGGCGTACGGCCGGCTCCGGGACGACCGTACAGAGGGAATAGGATGGGACGGGACGGGACGGGATGGGGCGGAAAGAAGGGAAGACAATGGACGAACCGAACGAGATGGCGTGCGAGCTTTGTGTGAGACGAAATGAAATATTAATGACGACGGCAATTTGGCATTGAGGAGACGCATTTCACATTTGAGAGGCTGAAGTGACAAAAAAGTTGGAAGGCATCGCACAGGCGGAGACGCATTGGACCCGACAGGTGGAAGAGCATTAGGTGGTGAAGGCAAAAAAGAGTTTCCGTGGAGGGCAGCGAAGCGAACGGAACCACTTAGCACCGATCGCATTAGTGTGCTGGATCAAATACGTCGCCGCGTTTGTTGTGAGAGTGATTAGGACCACTCTGTGCTGAGTAAACGGAGTGTGATTGGATCTGACAACGAACCCGGCTGTTCATATAAGGATGCAGGTCTCACCCAACTGACATACGTCACCACGTGGTTGAGGTGCCGCGTTATGCCCCCGGGAAAATGTTGAACATTGTATCTGTTATTGTATGGTTAAGACCGTCACAGTTTCATCAAGCGATGATGACGCTCTCTCCAGTCCCACAACAGACGAGAGGCGGGGTGTGCTGTACCGGTGTCTCGGAGCAGACCGTCACGCAGCACCACACCGTCCCATCGCCGCGTCCCCATCTCCCCGCCACCAGCCCCGCCTCATTCACCGTAATGGTCACGCACACGGGCCTGCTCTCCGCTAATGGCTGCCGGCGCACGGCGGCAGGACCCGCTGCATTCACTCCCCTGTGTGCGGCACCGGTCCCCATTGAACAGACCCACGCGCCGTCCGACCAGCTGCCGGAACAGACCCCGTTCGGTCGGGGCGGGCTCAGTGAACGGCCCGCGCGCGGCCGCTCGCCACAGGCACGGGGTACGGGCACGCACTGGCGTATTCAGCTGATATGGAGGTCACTTGGCTCCCCTGCCGGGCGCCGGCCGGCCGGTACGGTGCGGGTGGCAGCAACACAGCGTTACCGGCCGGATGCCGCCCAGTCGGCCCGCCCAGCCGCCGGTGAACCCATTCAGCCAGTGTGGCACGGCCCGACCGCGGCCCGGCTGCCGAGCCGTCCCTGCTCTCCGACACAGCAGCCCAGTGGAGCACATACAGTCGATACCGGCGGCAGGGGGAGACCGACGGCGACCTGACCGATGGATGATCCCTCACAGAGGGGTGAGGGTGGCAGGGTGGCGGAACCGGCGCGGCCTTGGACGGAGATGAGCGGCGCATCCTGTGTCGCCCGGATGTCCTGAGGTACCGCCCAATTCGCAACTGTCCCCAGCACACAGAGCAGCCGGGCGACCGGCCAGCTGGAACCGGCGACAACGCGACCCGAATCGGCTGCACCTACATCAAAGTCAGCTACATCAGAGGTGCTGAAAGGTTCAACAAAATGTAACATCGAGGCCACTGAGGAGTGAGAACACACAACGGTACACTGCTCCTCAGAGCACCGCTTTATTTGAGCCCTTCGAGAGGCTGATGTTTTCGTCTCGTTCGCCCGTCGATAATCCATCAGCTGTCAATAAGCCGTCGGCCGAACACATCGCCGGCGGACGCCTGTTTTGGGAGAGCGGCGGCGTCGGCCGGCCAGCGGGGGACGGGAACGAGGGAGAGCCGGAAGGCACGGGACGGGCACAGGGGGAGCCGGAAGGCACGGGACGGTCACAGGGGGAGCCGGAAGGCACGGGACGGGCACAGGGGGAGCGACAGAGGGCACGGGGGAGCGCCGGGAACGACGGGGAGCGACGGCAGCGTAAACAGGACGGCAACGGAGGGGAGCGAGTGATCAGCCGCCCGGCAGCCCGGCCACCGACGGGCTGGCGCGCTCTCGACCCGATGGCGAATCACGTCCAACAATCCACAAATATACACCAGAGCAGGGACCGCCACAAGCGGGCTTATTAGAACAGTTTCGTGCGACCATTTGACCATGCACCTGACCAACACCCGTCACAGCAGCTAGCCGTAAAACCTGCACGTGGCGGCGTTTGCTTACGTCAGCCGGCGTCTCGTTCGGCGACGAACTGTGCCGAGCGGGTCTCCATAGCGGGGTCACTGCCGACACTGGCCACCACGCGCCGAGTCCCGCCGGGCAGCGAGCTAATACGCCACACTTGTCTCGGAGGCGCCCCGCGACGATTGAGCCGTCGACAGGTGTCGGTAACGACTAACGACGCGCCGATTGGCGCCGGTGGCGCGAGTGGGCCAAGGCTGGCTGACCGGTCACAGCTGGTCGCCAGGGGCTGTGCGGGCCAACGGACCGGCGACACCTCACGATGGACATACGGGATTGTGTCCTCCACAACCCGCCCGCAGCGACATCATGGAGCTTAATTGAGTGGGTACTCAACAACTAAGCACCTCTGCACAAAAGTACCCAGACCTTGGCATAAATCACAACCCTAGTCCTTACCTGTAGCTCCTGTCTCCCTCAGGTGTCCTGACCGGCACCCCTGACAGCACCGGATCCCCGCCGCCGCGCGCCACACGCCCCCTCGCGCCACTGCCAGGTGGTCGCCGCTGGCCGCCGGCACCGTCCCGACCGACACTCACCAGAGGCAATATTGAACCGACGCGCCGGCGCCCCGGGGCAGACTGACGTCAGCGACCCGTCCGACGATCGGCGAGAGCTCGATCGTGGCGCCGCCAGGCGGACGAATGGGTAACTGCACTGACGCAGGTGGCGGTAGCGGACAATAACGGGGCGGCAGGTGGGATCGAATGCGACCGAATTTAGTTCAAGTGACAACCATTAGTCACGGAGGGCGATTACCATTGACCAGGCTCACCTCTCGCATACCTGGCATGTTCTTGCCGCATCATTTTCAACATACCTATTTCAACTCAAATCGGACTGAGCCCAGGAGCTGTGCATCAATTGACATGAGTTGTATTTGTGAAAACAAGTGTTGGTTGGAATGCACTATGCACACTTCAACTTACCATTTTGGAGGACGTTTCCGTTCCGCTCAGATTACTGCAGCTTCTTCGCGACAACCCCTGTGCCAGTCACAATAGAGCGGTCAGGATTCGACCTGCAAAGAAGCGTCAGTGTCATTGGTATCCACACTATCCTGGTATGGATTGAGGACAGGGAAATCACTACGACCGCACCAGAGGCGGCCCACCAGAGGCGGAGAGGGTTACAGCCCCGGCCCCCGGGGTCATTGCCTGATCTGCATCGGCATAACCTGACCTGGCCTTGGCCTGATCCGGCCTGACCTCGCATGATGTGCCAACGTAGCGGATATATTCACTACCAGCTTCGAGATTCGAGAATGGTGATACAAAATCCCTTTGACCCTCCCTTTTTATTGTCCTTTGACCTTTTGGGCCTCACGCTGACCCGCCAACAGCGGTTGGCCTCGGACCAACCAACGCTTAGGTCGATCTTTTACCTGGATCAACATATCCTACGATCATACATAATGCCTGGTCATAACTGACAGCCCAGCTTTTTATTCAAACTCGAACTAAGCGTAAACAGTGACAGGGAAATTCAAAACACCCACCCCGTCCCAAGCCCCGTCCCTTAGTATATAGAGATGGAATCACTCATTTGACGTGAGTGAACATTAGGGTTGTTCAAAAAAACCGAATTTTGGAAAAGTATACAGGCTCATGGTTCGTGTGGTGAGGTAGTCTTTGAGTCCAACGATGCCCTTTTTTCCGAAAAATATTAACTGCTTCATGCTCCCCAAACGGCTTGAAGAGGAGGATGTTACGCCCGGCGACCGGCCGGTGTCAATAAGGGCGAGAATTCGCTGCCGCGCGCGGGCGGAGGCGCCTTATCGGCACCGCGCGCCACGACATCTACCGGGCGGCCGGCCGGCCGGTGGTGGTGGGAGGGAATGAATGCGTGGTCTTCTTTCACATGATGATAGGCATGATAGGGGTGCACTAGCCCATACTGTCGGAGCGGAAAGTTTCAGTGCAGCATCGTTGCCTCTGCCGCAGTGTTCTGTGTCGATGGTTCAGAAAATAGGCCAAACAGAACTAAGAAAAGACTCAATGCTTCTGGCTAGTTTATTCGAAACATCTCGTTTCGAGAATACAGCGCGGTGTTTCACGGCCGCTGCAACCACGCCTGTATGCGAAAATTGAAGTTTTCTCAGAACAGCAGGATCTGGCAAGGTACAAGGACAGAATACGGAGACCCCGACATCGACGTTAGGTTTAACTTACATTTGCAGTTCAAAAAAAAAGATGACATGCCCGGGAATGACGCGGTGGCCGCCCTGACATTGTGACGAAGTTGGGTGTGAGTAGAGACAATAGCGGGAGTGCACATACAAGTCAAGCGCCCCTCAATCCAACCCTCCGGGCAGCAGCGGCACCAGCAACCCGGCCATGTCCACCGATGTCGTTCAAGATCCGAAACCAGAGCCGGCAGAGAGCACGGCTCTGCCCTGACGTGACACATATGTATCCCCGGCGTGTCACGACAGACAGACCATTACCTCGCCTGTATAAATACAACAATGTATACAGTATACCTTACCTATTTCTAAGTCTCATGTTGAGGCGAGAAGCGATCAGCGTCCAGTTCTACTTCGACGAAGACTCGTATTCAGACCCGGCAAAGAGCACGGCTCTGCCCTGTTTCCGCGGCTTCTAATGGCCACATCGATACGAGATATCTCCAATCGTCTGTTTTACCTACTACAAAACCAGGTCGGTGTGTTGCGATTAGCACGATACATTTATTGCGTAGATATCTGTTAAATGCGTTATTAATTAGAAATAGGAAAAGTAAACATTTCCATCGTCATTCGCCAAACGGTCGAGGTTGCAATCATAAGTCTGTCCGTCATGACACGCCGGGGATATGTTCTGGCTGGTGTAGCCAGTAGAAACACTGTAACATACAGATATCTCTTGTATTTCGCCACAAAATCGAGACATATATAATTTAACATACGAACTTACTTATCTAGTATTGCACACATGTTGGCGAGAACATCGAATGTAATAAACGAATACATATGGTTTTTAATATACACATAGCCAATGCAGTTGTCCAAACAATACAGCAGTTTAAGCGAACGGAACGTTAAAAGGGGGACGCACAACTTAATCGAAGGCTTTAGCAATTTAGAGACTGGTAAAAGCGACACCTATGAGAAAAACTATAACTAGCGGTTCACAGCATCTAGCGGTGACCGGTGGAAGTAAACGCGCCTAGCGGTGACCGGCGGTACATGCAGGGGCTACATCACTCCCCCGCCCTAGTTAAACACCATAAAAAGAAGTTTGGCGGCGAGTACGCGACGAACGGCGGAGAGGGGGTGGCGAAGCAGGCGGCGGGTCCGGCGGCACGCGGCGAGCCGGGCGAGAGCCGCCGGGGGCACCTGAGCGGCTGGGTGCAGGCGATGCAGCAGGCGGGCGGTCCACCGAGCTGTCTGTCGCTGTAGTAGGCGTGTCGTTCACCAGGACGTCCGGTGCTGCAGGCGGCGTTGCGGCAGGCATGTTGTCCGTGAAGGCCGGTTTACACCGAGCCAGGGTGACGGTGTCGCGTCGCCCGAGACGGTCGATGGTGACGGTGTGCTGGTCGCGGGATAGGACACGATAAGGACCGTCATAGACGTATTGGAAAGGAGAGCGATGCGAATCGCGTCGGATGAAGACGTGGGAGCAGGTTTGCATGTCTTGAGAGATGAAGATTTGGCGGGAGCCAGGACGAGGAGGAGTTGGACGGAGCTCCGACATGGCGGCACGGAGACGAGAGGCTAGGGAAGCCGGATCAGAAGAAGTGTCCGACGACATGGGGGAGAGGAAGTCACCAGGAAGTCGGAGACTGCAACCATAGACTAGGTCTGCAGCGGTGCATCCGAGATCCTCCTTGAGGGCCGTGCGCACTCCAAGTAGCACCAGAGGAAGTCGGTCCGACCAGGAGGCGGCGTCGTCATCGGTCCGCAGAGCTGACTTCAGTTGGCGGTGGAAGCGCTCTACCATCCCGTTTGCTTCTGGGTGGTAGGCGCAGGTCCGGATCCGAGAGGTGCCGAGAAGCTTGGAGACTTCTGTCCAGAGGCGGGACTCGAACTGGGATCCTCTGTCGGTGGTGATGAGTTCGGGTACTCCGAAGCGGGCGATCCAGCCGCTGACGAGATGCCGAGCCACCGTGACGGCGTCCATGGTGGGCAGAGGAATTGCCTCGGGCCATCGGGTGAAGCGGTCGACGACAGTCAGGAGATAGGAGTTGCCATGGGACGGAGGAAGTGGTCCGACAAGGTCGATGTGGATGTGCAGGAAGCGAGAGTCAGGTGGCTGGAAGCTGCCCATGGGTGGCTTCGTGTGGCGCTGGATCTTGGCACGCTGACAGTGCTGGCAGCTCCGGACGAAGGCACGGATGTCCGCGTTGATGTGGGGCCAGATGAACCTCGATGAGATGAGATGACGCGTAGCGTTGATGCCAGGATGAGACAAGTCGTGGAAGCTCTTGATGATGGAAGGGCGGAGTCTGGCTGGGACTACAGGTCTAGGTGTGGCCGTTGAGGTGTCGCACCAGAGACGTAGATGCGGATGATCAGGGACTGGGAAGTCACGGATGACCAGAGATGAGGATTGTTGCAGCTTCGGCAGGTCAGGATCGTTGGCTTGGTGTAGGGCGATGTCGGCCAAGCTCAGAAGGCCGGGTGAAGGTGTAGCTGCGGCAGAAGCTGGCGCAGACACTGAGCTGATCCGTGAGATGGCGTCAGCTACCGGGTTGAGATGTCCAGGAACATGTCCGATCTTGCTGGTGTGCTGCAGAATCAGGTCCATGTGACGTTGTTCACGGAGAGAATGGTTGGCGTTGCCGTTGGCCTTGAGAGCAAAGACGAGCGGCTTGTGGTCCGTGAGGATCTCGAAGTCGCGTCCTTCCAGAAAGGGCAGGAAATGTCGCACGGCGAGGTACATGGCGAGCAGTTCCCGTCCAAAGGTGCTGTAGCGGCGTTGGGTGGGCGTGAACTTGCGCGAGAAGAAGGCGAGAGGCTGAAGAGAACCACCAACTCGCTGGTGGAGCACGGCGCCGGCTGCCGTGCTGCTGGCGTCAGTGCTGAGGCTCAGAGCTGCATCTTTGACGGGATGAGCGAGCTGGGTGACGTCAGCGAGGGCGGCTTTAGCTGCAGAGAAGGCGGCGTCTGCCTCTGGGGTCCACGTGACTGAAGCAGCTCGGTCGTCTGAGGCAGTCAGGCCGTGGAGAGGTGCCAGAAGAGCAGCAGCGTGTGGGATGAAGCGATGGTAGAAGTTGATCATCCCCAGGAACTTCTTGAGGCTCTTCTTTGACTCTGGACGGTCGAAGTTCTTGATCGCGCTGACTCGATCGTCGAGAGGAGTGATGCCTCCGCTGGAGATCTGGTGGCCGAGGTAGGAGATGCTTTCCATGCCGAAGGCGCACTTCGATGGGTTGAGGAGCACACCGTTGCGGGAAAGACGGCTGAAGATCTCTCGGAGGTGTGACAGGTGTTGCGAGATGCTGCTGCTGGCGATGAGGATGTCGTCTACATAGACGAAGGCGAAGTCCAGGCCACGGAGGATGTGATCCATGAACCGTTGGAAGGTCTGGGCGCAGTTCCGGAGACCGTACGGCATACGGAGGAACTCGAAGGCGCCGAAGGGCGTTGTGATCGCTGTCTTGGCGATGTCTTCTGGGGCCATCGGTATCTGGTTGAAGGCCCTGACGAGGTCGAGCCGAGAGTAGATCGATGTCCCAGCGAGGCAGGCAGTGAAGTCGTGGAGATGTGGTAGTGGGTACCGGTCAGGCACTGTGATGCGGTTCAGTGCACGGTAATCACCACAGGGTCTCCAATCTCCAGACGACTTGGGCACCATGTGCAGCGGTGATGCATACCGACTGCTGCTGGGTCGGATGACTCCGAGACTGAGAAGGCGTTGGAACTCTGCCTTGGCAGTGGCGAGTCGAGCTGGATCCAGACGGCGTGGGCGGCAGAAGACCGGAGGGCCGGTAGTCTCGATGTGATGTCGGACTGAGTGCTGTGGCTCCGGATGATGTGACGGCTGGGTGAGGCTGGGGAATTCTCGAAGGAGGTTAAGGAATGCTGGGTTGTCGGTTCCGACGACGGCTGTCAGTCCGGTGGATGGCACTGAAGAGTGGGAAGCAGGTGAAGACAACTCAGTTAGGTGGTCGATGAGACGGCCTCTCTTGGTGTCGACGAGGAGATCATACGAGGAGAGGAAGTCGGCTCCTAGGAGAGGATGGGAGACGTCCGCGATGATGAAGATCCAGTTGAAATCTCTTCTGAGGCCGAGAGAAAGCGTGAGCATGCGCTGACCATAGGTCTGGATGCTGCTGTTGTTGGCTGCTTGCAGATCCAGTCCGTTGGTTCCGCGAGCACGATCGGTGGGTGTCGCTGGAAGAACACTGTACTCGGCTCCAGTGTCGATGAGGAAGGTGATGCCAGTGTTGCTGTCATTGAGTCTCAGAAGGCCGCTGGCTGGAGGGACGTCAGGGTTGAGCAGGGCAGGTGCAGACGTCTGTGTCACCTGTCCTACTGCTGGTTTCCCGAAGTCTGAGTTGCGGTTGCAGACCA